ATACCGTGTACTGCAGGTACAGGCATTTGTGAGGATATACATACATATATGTATACGCACTCATATAGGTCGTCGCGTGATTTCTACATGCGTGCAGGTATACTTGTAACATATATATGTACACCATATGAAAAGGGAAGAACCTTTCTTATACCTTCCTTTTGACGCCGTTCGCCAAGTTTTGCGTTTTTAGTACCTGTTTATAAGTACACGCGCACAAAGAAAAGAGATTATAGATGGTGATGCTTTTCGTCCGAGGTGCATCCTGCGGTTGGCTTTTGTTCGCGAGGCTATTATTTTCTTTGAGCTCTCGGAGACGCATCGAACCAAACAAAAGGAAAAAAGAAATTGTTCGCGCCAATAAAGTACGACTTCGTTTGCCGATGCGCACGTCTACGAGTGTATATTTTTATGTCGGTCGAGTCGTGTGGCCTGGAGGCTCCATAAATCCCAGAGCGAGCGTCTCACTGCGCGCATCACTGACGAAGAAGATGTAAAGACTGTACGAAGGATGCTAGTGGTAAAAATAAAAGTCGATCGATCCACCTATCACTACCGGATTGGACCCACATATCGACCTATACTACTGCCATCCAATAATAATATCGTTTATCGATTATATTGGTATCGATAGTTACACCAAAAAAAAAAAAATAAAGGATATATATATATATAAATCCTAAAAATGTGTATTTCAACCCTCTACGTATGTAATCTATACGTTACGAGATGCTCCTCACCATTATTATGGCAGTAGTTTTTGACCGAATCAATAAATTCCGTCATCGTCCTTTTTTTCCAATTTTCAATTGTGTGTACGTACGTACAAGCAACTCGAATCAAAACAAGTATACATATCGTTATGCAATTGTAGGGTATGTGTTTGTACAAAGAAAGTAAGATATTGTTTGAAGATAGTGAGTTTCATCAACTTCTTGGTTCTCATTGTTACCGTAAAGGGTTTTTTTGTCTTTTCAATGATTATTTCGCATCGCTCACCCAGTTACATATGACCTATACTCTGCAAAATAGATCTCTCATGACTCGTACCTTTATTATTTCTCCCAAACGAGTACCTATATACGTGCTATTCCGTATACATTTGTGTATAAATTAGAGTACGAGTCACGTGCAATAAAAATACACATAATATACACACGCAGTGAAACTCTCGCTCTATACGGGAGTTGCGGAACCGCGAAGCCAATACACCCACGAATTTCCTTTTTCCCTGCAGGCACCGAAAGACACGTTTTTTCCGGTCGCCGAAAGCTACATCGCTTTCTCTTCCTCCGGAGAAAGAAGAAGAAGAAGAAGAAGAAGAATAATCAAACGAAAGATAAGGAACAATGCGCCCCCAATCTCCCGACCGCATCGGCGATGTCGTCTATACTTATAGGTATACTTTTTCTCCCTCCCTCCCTTCCGATCCGAAAAAAAAGCGTGAAAATATATACAACGACGCACATGCATGATATTAATCCCGTGTGGGCTCTCACGAGAGAGTGCATGTACCCGTACTCTCTCCCGATACCGTCCGATTATCGGCTTATCGCGACAAACGAATCGCCCCCGTGCACGCGCACACAAATATATATATATATATATACATATTATATACACGTACACGCACGCAAAACTTGAGAAAAATACACACGCTCCATACGCAAGTGTGCATTATGTACAGCAGCAGCGGTGCAAAGTCCTCGCGGAGGAGGAAATCAATGCCAGCCGTCTGCCAAGGAGCCTTGCTCTATAGAGTCGAGGGATGCTACGATGATATGTGCACGCACACGCGTACATCCATTATGTATACTCGAGGAGGATGGAGAGAGAGAGAGACAGGGGGGTGGGCGAGGGAAAATGAGGGCCTTGGCCTTGTGTCGCGAGGTCGCCGGGACACGCGAGCGCGCTCAGGTTGTGTATATTATTCCCCTTTGCCCTTTCTCTCGTCTGATTATTGTCTCTCTCTCGGTGTGCGAGGCGTATATGTATATACACGAGATGGCTGCGCGCGTGTTTTATGGATGGCGCCCTCCCCTCGGGGCCCGAGCAATTTTCTTTCTTTGTGCGTGAAACGCTTTATTTTCGGGAATGGGAGTTTTCTTTTCATTCCAGGGGCTTTTTTCTTTCGTCGCGCTGTTTCGCCGGACAATCTTTTTTTTGCGCTAGCTGGGGATGATACGCGATTATTTGGGGATGTCGGTTGTTGGCTTTGGATTCGAGGATACGTACATATCGTGTGACAAAAGAACTGACCTGCTCTGTAAAACAGGTTGGTACGTTGTGACCAGCGCGTGTCGGTTTATTTCCCAACGGGATCAGTTCAGTGGAAAACCAGCCCACGGTATGATTGTTTAAAAAAAAAAAAAAAAAAACAAATTTATTGGAAGCGCAAATAACATCAACAATAAATCAACGCTCGTTTCGCCACGCCATCGACCATGTCCCAAATTAGATTTAAATTGTGCACACGCGTATATGATTATTATTAATAACAATGGAGTTAGCAACGCAGAAACAAACAATGCCAGTTTGAGCTTTAGAAAGGCTTGTCATTGATGGCTGTTTGGCCGCTGTTTTTTTTTTTCCTTTCTTTTGATAGAATTTAACTTTGAAGTTGAGGAATAATTTGATTAAGCTGTTTCAAGTTTCTTGGGAATTTCAAAAGTAATGGCAAAACATGTTCCGGCTCCCTCAAGCTTTGCCGTTTAGTTGGCTGGCGTTTTCAAATTTCAGCGCTAATTTTACCACCTCCGAGCGAGTATTCAAAATTCCAGACTGGCGTTAGGTACGTGCCAGCCGGCGCTCGCGCACGAAAATATATTCACCCTTCGGTTGGTATAATACGATGTACAGTTGTCACGTCAAAATACACAAGTATATATAATATATGACGTGATGGAGGAAAACATAAATTAGGTAACGTTAAGAAAAAGGAATTTACCAACTATTTTTAATTATTTTTTCGATATGGATTTACTTATTTGACCGAAACTCGAGTTTTTTTTTCTTCCTCAGAGTTTAATGGTTAACCTGTATGGCTATCGGATGGATCCCTCTGTTTTTAGACCAATAACAACACCAAAAGATCACACAAGCCAACAAAATTAATTTATTACCACATTTTGCGTGAATAAAGAAATGTGTGTGTTTTTTAACTTTAATATTGAAGCGAGTACGTATAATTTTAAGTATAATAAAGCGCGATAGGCTGAGATATTTTTTTTTTTTCATGCGTGTGTATGAATACGCGGCCTCATCGTGAAATATAACATGTAAAATCAATGCGAGTGTACCTATACACACTATTTTCTTCTTCGATGTATACCTACGCGTCTGCTATATACATATATTGTACGGTACACATAAAGGAGAACCCTCGCCAAATTCCCACATCAATAGCGAATTTTCCCCGTTACGTAGATAAAGGGAAATCGTTGTGAATGGGGTGGATGAAAAATGCGAGGGGTGGCTCTGTAAGTATACTTATCCGTGCAGTTTATTGAATATTATGTTTCACGAAGAAAAATAAAATAAAATAAGATGAATAAAGATCGGATGTGTGTATGGAGATTTCGTAGAGCACTTTCGTTATCCACTGGAAATTGGAGGTGAAAAAAAAAGGAAAAGGAAAGAGATCAAAGGAAAGCTCGTATTGGCGGAATAATTCGATCATATTTTTCGGGGATGGTAAGGAGTATCGTGGAGAAACGAAATAAAAAGATACCGCCGATCTTTTTTCACCAGCGAGGAATAACCCGAAGCTGTCAAAGGAAGCCGCGGACGAAGCAAAAAATGAAATTTCAGAGAAAACGCAAAAGTCGATAAAACATATACAACTGACAGGATGCCCGTAAAATACGCAGGAGCTATACGCAGAGACGAGCCACAACAGTTGGCTAAAAAGGCGTAAAATGTGCTCTCTGCCTGTAGCCTCGGGGACCTTCACGTCTCCAAGTTTTGTCGTTTATGTGTACCTGGAGAAAAGTGAGGGAGAGACGCATTTTCGTCCTTGAATCGGACGATGAGCAACTTGTTCAAAGAGTACGATATCGCATTACTCACTTGCGAAACGGTATAAGAATAAGGGAGCACGCGCCGCTTCTCTTCTTTCGTAAGTACTTATGTATATACTCACAAGCGTATGCTATAGCGAGTGAAAACTTTTTTTTTTTTTCTTTGCTGTACAAGTACGTGTTAATTGAAATTTCACATCATTTTTCAATAAACTCTCCTATAATTAATCGAGTAAGAGCTTGTTTATAGTTTCAGGGAAAAACGTCCGTCTTGATGAATTGGAGATTAATTAAATGTGTGCCAATTACACGGTACATGCAAGTCGGCCAACTATCAAACACATACTTATACTGATATGTGTGGATTTATATTTTATGAAATCACATTATTATTATTAAGAAGAAAAAAAAAAAAAAAGAAAAAAGAAAACAGGTCGGTAGTCATGCAGTGGCACTCGGTTTTTCAAAGTGTATGTAATACTCCAAGAGGCCTCGAAACACACATGAAAAAAAAAAAAAAAGAAAAAAGAAAAAAAAGAAAAGAAGAGTTTTAAATGCCAGCAAAAATGTATTTACGGCCGCGCGTTGTAATTTATTTTGGCCATAAGCACGGTGCCTTTTAAAACTAAGAGGAAAAAAAAAAAAAAAAAAAAACCACCGAGTGAATGTACAAAATATCTCGGTACGTAGACGCAACCGTAAAGTAAAAATAATAAAATCAAATCCTTATTTTGAAAAAAAAAAAAAAAAAAAAAATTTCCAAACAAGGGGTCAGGCAAAAACATGATAAACACAAGCGTTTACGTAGGAGCGAAGTTATTAAGGTCCCTCTCTGTTGTGCAAGGCACCCCGAAGTACGTAATCTCCGTCAAGGCCGCAGCGCGTACATGTAACTTCGTACCGCTGAAACTTCGCGCGTACGCATACACCCCATTTATGATTTATATGTATAAGTATGAAAATACAAGCAATGGTACTCACACTGTGAAGCGAGTGCAAGAAAAGGGGAAGATGAAAAACTCGTCTCTCTTTGCTTCTTTTGCTGGCGATGCCCCTTGCGCCCGATCTGCTATAACTCTGTTGCTTCCCCCGGATGGCAAAGACACCGTTCTCTCCTTTTTCTTCTTCTTCTGCTCCTCGTTATTCGCTTCTATTGCAAATGCGTGGGTACTTTTATCCTCCACCTCCCTTTTTTCCGAATCTCCAAGCACCACCAGGCAAAAATACACACGTATATATACATACATATATATATTTATACATACTATGCAGTAGGTATATACACGGCGCGTATACGTGTGCGCCCCGGCTGTGCGTTTCTTTTCTCGGCTCCTCCTTTTTTCCTCTCTTTCTCTCGCTTTTGCGCGTGTACGTGTGCGCGCGCGTGAGGGTAAAGTATACGAGAGGATCACGTGCGGAAATTTATATATTTTTTCTCCCCTCCCCCCCCCTAACCCCTCTCTTCCTTGCATTCCCTGCATCCTTGCCCTTTCGGCATTCTTTTGCGATGAGTGTGCCTCGGGGCTGCTCGAGTGATTAATCTATACGCGTAAGTATAGCCTCTTGTCGTTCAATAAAATTTCCGAGGTGCAAGAAAAACCGACGGAGGAACGATATCGGGTGGGTGTAGCTATACAAGACAGTGTATTATTATTATTATTATTTTTATATATATCTTCGAATGGCACAGGAATTTGTCGAGAGGGAGGGAGGGAGGGAAGACACGCTTTGCACTCCTCTTGTGCAAAAGTGAGAGTCGCCACACACACGCGCGTCCTTTACTTACATTTCTATTTTCGAAATCGTGCAGTGTATTTGCTCGGTATACGCAGATCGGGAGATAAAAAAAAATGTTTCTTCTTCAATTGACACTCATCGCGTAATATTGGCAATCGCATAAGTACATGTATGTCTTATCAGTGTCAACTGAACGGTAGCTGCGCCCGGAATGTGTGTTCTCGTTCAGGTATATTTATATTATATTGTTATACGAGGTATCTCTTTGTTCGACCCAAATTCTCTCGCTCTCTCTCTTGGGAGCTGTACGTACTTTATAGGGCCCACGTGTGTATGCAACGAAACCATCGACTCATCGAGCACATTTTTCCGATAAGCGTTTAATGTGTTCATAGCTGCCGATGATGATATCGTTGTATAACTCCCTGTTATTGTGCGAAAACGACGGGAGAGTATAAAGTGACAAGGTGACAGGAGTTATAAAAACAATGGCATCATCGTTTGCACTCGAAAAATGACAATCCAATGTACCCATCGCCGGGACGGAGAAACAGGATATGATCCACACATTTTCCCGGGAGGACGTTTCGCGCACACGCCGCGCCGGTCCCTCCTTCTCCGGCTCCCTTCGGGCGTAGGTTGCATTATACACGCAAAAACTCTCCACACCGGCTTCACCGCCGCGTATCCAGCTGCACACTCCCTTTTTTTCTTTTCAAGTGCACGGAAAAAGAGAGAAATCATTGCAAATCCGGGAGGAAAGGAAAGGGGTACGTGGGTGCCATCAATCGCCGGAGGTGCATTTTTCTCGCCAACAATCGCACCTTGATTATTAAAAAAGAGAGACGGGGAAGGGGGGGGGGGAAGTAAATGAGAGGGAGAAAAGAAGGGACCCGGTCTTCCCGAGTCGGAAGAGCTCGAGGGGGATGGGGGTGTCTGCATGTATTTGCACTCACACGACCACATTTTATTAGGAAAAAAAAAAAAAAAAAAAAGTATAAAGGGGAGAGAGATCAAGAAACGCACAGCCCGACCCCTTACGTTATAGTATGCAAGTGTCTACCTTTTGTAATTTGAAACAAAAAAACAATAATCAGAAAATGTTTGTCAACGAGGCCGCGTGTGTTGTTTTAATTTTGTAAAATGATAAACTCGAAATGTCTTGTAAAAATGAAGTAAGGCGAATGGGCGCGCGCGCGCGATCCTCCCACAACGGCGTCTCGAGCGTGACTGAGGATCGCCGAGAGTATTGCGAGCCGCGGTTCTCTCTCCGGCCGGCCTCTCTCTCCCTTCTGTTCCCTCTTTACTTTCGCCTCCTCTTCCCATACCTACTCTGCGCGCGAGTGTGCTATCTTTCGCCACCTCCTCTCATCTTCCTCCCTCTTCCGATGTAGCGCGCGCACGGCTTGAAACGAGTGCTAGCACTTGTTGAAAGTTTTTTTTTGTGTCTCACATTATACTTACTCGAAACGCGTTTTTTGAAAATGGCACTTTTTTTTTTTTCAATGGTGAATCGAGACAACCTTAAAATACTTGTGGTTTTTCGATACCAATATCAAGTGGCTTTTGCTTTGTCATTGAAAGATTTCACGAGCTGTTTAAGGGATTTCAGGTGTACCAAAAAGTGCCATTTCTTCCCGTGTTTCCTAACGAGCTTTCTTTCAGCTCTGGGGGCTTATGAATACACAATACATTGCGTTCGACTGTTTTGCCCTGACTGGAATAAGTTATGTAAAAGATCGGCAAAGTAGTATACTTATCTGTGAACAGTTCAAGCGTTAATTGGCTTATTTCGAGGCGGACGTACATCAGCCCGCGATTTTCCGGACGGAAATAGAATAAATTTTCGTTCTATTTTGTGCCGTTTAGCTGCTCCATTGGGTAATTATATTCTATATTTAGCTCGTATGTTTTCTAATTTTTATGGTTCTATTTTTCATTTTTTTTTTTTTTATTTCGAGTGGGACCATTTATAAAAAAGGCTCTACTTATCCGACTTCTTTTATCTTTGCGATAAAAAGAGTGTAATTTATCATCGTGTACCCGAAAATCGGCAAAGGATATTCGATGCCAAGATAAAAGTGCAAACTTAATGGAGGGGGAGACGAGCTCTCGTAAACGATGCGAAAAAACAAAGAAAAATCGTAATGAGACGAGGATGGATCGAGGTGAGAAAAAACACGAAGGGCTATTTGGGCATAAAAGAGGGTTAAAAAAATGTTGCGGGGCGAGATGCTCATCGTCAAAAGATGCGCGCGAGGGAAACGAGGGAGGAGCAAAAAAAAAATAAAGCGACTTTTTTCTCCCCGCGTATACTTATAATACACTTTTCAATTCATAAATCTTCTTTTGAATCGAACGTAGGATATGTATACACTGACTTTTTTTCAGCGTATCTTCTTTTGAATCGATGGACTTTTATTTGGTGGAGCTTTCTCGTCGAGACGCGTTCCTGGGATATTTTGAAGACTTGTAAGACGATTCGTTTAATAAAAACTAAAAACATAAGCGCACAGTTGTACGGAAGCCCAGTCACGACATCTCCATAAAAACGCATAAGCACGCACAAGAACAAGTATGAGTGCACAAAAAGTCAAAAACACGTTCGAGTGCACGAAAGCGCGCACACAAGTTGCAAAGAAGACGGTTTCTATTTCATTTACTTATAGCACAGCTTATAATTGTTACATCTTTACGTGGGAAAGAGATTTGTTCAATATATATATATATTTAATTTATAAAAATGTGTATTTCAACCCTCTACGTATGTAATCTATACGTTACGAGATGCTCCTCACCATTATTATGGCAGTAGTTTTTGACCGAATCAATAAATTCCGTCATCGTCCTTTTTTTCCAATTTTCAATTGTGTGTACGTACGTACAAGCAACTCGAATCAAAACAAGTATACATATCGTTATGCAATTGTAGGGTATGTGTTTGTACAAAGAAAGTAAGATATTGTTTGAAGATAGTGAGTTTCATCAACTTCTTGGTTCTCATTGTTACCGTAAAGGGTTTTTTTGTCTTTTCAATGATTATNAGTAGTAATAATCATTTGGATCAGCGCCATCTAGCGGTCGTGATTTTTTTGGCCAAAAATTGCTTCTGAAATTCTGAAAGAGAGCTTTAGGCAGTTTAGCCCTAGAGCCATTTAATCACTTATAAACCAGCCGCAACTTTTGAAGTAGATACAAAATGAATAATAAACGATGTTTGTGCTATTTGCGGCAAGTTTACAATTTATCTTTTACCCGAAAGTGTAAATATATAGCAGATCAATATTCGGGTAAAAGATAAATTGTAAACTTGCCGCCAACAGCATAAACAATGTTAAATTTTTATTTTATATCTACAAAATTAGTTGCGGCTGGTTTATAATTGACTAAATGGCTCAAATCCTGAATGCTCTGATTGAGAATTTTAGGAGCCACTTTTGGCCAAAAAATAAAGACCGCTAGATGGCGCTGATCCAAATAATTACTACTTACAGTAGAGCCACGTAATCGATTATAAACCAGCCGCAACTAATAATATAGATAGAAGATATAAAGTTGACATTGTCTGTGCTATTTGCGGCAAGTGTACAATTTATCTTTTGCCTGAAAATCGATCATGTGGCAGTATGTTAAGTGTACAATTTATCTTTTGCCTGAAAATCGATCATGTGGCAGTACTTAGTAGTGATTACTATTCATAACTTCACGTATATCTTACACCGTGCTCTCTTACACCGTATAGTTATTTTTTTATTTTATAGCTACCAAATGAGTTGCGGCTGGTTTATGATACGTTAAGTGGCTCTAAGCGCTAAAGCTCTAGTTCAAAAGTTTAGGGCCACTTTTTAGTTCAGAAACCCGCAACGCTAGATGGCGCTGATCCAAATAATTGTTAGTACTACTCTTACAGTAAAGCTATGTTCAATTATAAACCAGCCGCAACTGATTTCATAGATATAAAATAAAAAGTTGACGTTGTTTGTGCTGTTTGCGGCAAGTGTACAACTTATCTTTTACCGGAAAATCGACCAAAGGGCAGTACTTAGTAGTGATTACTATAATAACTACACACTATGTCTTACACCGTGGTCTCTTTACCAGAATGATAAAATCCAAAGTAAATATATGTATA